AGGCAAAAGGGGGTCCAACCCGTTACTAGCGTGGTGTACCTAATAAAGTGGCCGGTGAGTGTATAAAGAACATTCCTTCCTAAAACAAATAAGGAAGACTTAATTAAATTATTTATCCATGAGAGAAATGAAAATGATATATTAAAAACAAAGCAGGACAAAACCTTTGAAACAGCTTTAGAAAGCCTGGAGAACTTTAGCTCTAGATTACTTAACAAAAAACTACAAAAATAGTCTTTCCTCTTTGATAACCACAGACAAAATAAGACTTGTTAATATCTTGGCACATCATCTGGGGTTTTGTGCAGAATAAGACTTAACTGTACTTTTTGTTTTTCCTTGTCAGAAATTGGTGTTGACAAATAATCAGTTGACTACGTTACCCAGAGGCATCGGCCACCTCACCAACCTGACCCATCTGGGTTTGGGTGAGAACCTGCTGCAACAGCTTCCAGAGGAGATTGGTTAGTATTTCACTAAACAGCAGGAAGAGAGAAAAGGAGAGAAAGTTGCTACTAAATTCACCAACAGTGTCAGTTAACGGTTGCAGGAAACAGAACTGGATCGGTTTTTAATTTATGTAACTATAACTAAATCTGAAATTATTCCTGCAATAATGTCATTTGTTTTTGACAAAAGTTTTATAACAGCTAGGGCTGCAACAACGAATCGATAAAATCAATAAAAATAGATTATTAAAAGCTTTGGCAATGAATTTCATTATCGATACGTTGTGTCGCACGAGTTATGTGTCTCTCGCCGTGTCGCAGAGCTGTTTACGTCACCCATAGAGTGTTGTCAATGCTGGCTGACCTAAATAAATTTTAGGAAGAAAAAAACTACCTGTAAAGATCGGCCCTTTCTGAGACCCTCGAGTGAAAAGTAGAGACTTCGAACTTTAAACCAGTTTTTAAAGTATGTTGTTAGGCCAAGTAGATCCAAAGATAGGATAAAAAGTATCTGCCACAGTAAAAAAAAATTAAAAGACGGTCTGATTTGATGCGAGCCAAGTCGCAAAGAGGAAGCACATCCCATGAGGGAAAATTTTAAAAAGTACCTCAGTCCACCATGTTTCCTCCTCTAGGGCCAGAAATATAAAACCCTCCAGTCTTTTTTTTTTCTGACTGAGGCTCAAAGTTATTTGATAAACAGCAAAAAGTTTCAAGACAAAGGGGGAAAAAATTAAAGAGACGCGAGCAGAACTCCTGGTCTGACTCAGTAGGGGAGGGATGGGGGGCTGCTTCAGAACCGCTTACTGGGTCGTATTAGCCACAAACAGAACCACCAAGAAGGAAGCAAAACAAAGAATCAGAGAAAAAT